CAGTTTGGCTTGTGTGTGTTTGTTTGTGTGTGTGTGTGTGTGTGTGTGATGCATTAAATATCAGACAGATTACAACGGCTTGTTACAAGATTATATTTAAATCGCTGTCACTTACTGCAAAGAACTAACGATGGACTTTAATACAAATGAGCACCTGCAGCTGCGACCACAAATGTCTGTGGGTGTGTTTCTGTTAACATTTCCAAGAAGAAAGAAAAGAGAATGAAAAAATTTTCATAGATTTTTTTTTTGGACAAAATTTACTTTCACACAGGATGGCTTGTCTTTGCAGATGCAGATTTAAGTATGGTTTAAATTTGCATACCAGAACAGAGAAGATCTGCTGCAGAACAATGAGGAGGGGGTTCAAATAGGGCCATGATGACAAGGATATGGAGTTAAAGTTTAAACATATTAAGACAGAATATTTATTTTTGCCAATTTCACCATGTTTCAGAAACATAAAAATGCTGGACTGTAGAAGGACTGAGAAGACAGAAAGCTGTCCAGTAATGTTATAGCCATCAAATCTTCGCCCTGAGACCGACTGTGTCCGACTGATGGATACAGCGAGGTGGAGCCTCTTCATGGCCTGTCTCATCCACTTTGGCTTATTCACATTCATCTCTTTCTCACGCCATTTCTTTCGCCCCTTTCGTTACTCGAATATTTTCAAGAAACCAAAAAAGCTCTTCCTCAATTTAGAATTTCTGTACAAATTTCTGCCTAATTTTTCCACTGGTGTAAGCAACCAGTCAACCAGAAGCAACTACAGGTAACACAGGTAAAATTTACAAAGAACAAACTCTTATCAGTGGAACTGTACTGGAGTAAAATGACCAGGAAAAAATTTAAATAAATATCACTTGAGCAACAAAATAAGTAAATACAGTAGGACACATTTTTAAGAACTAAAGGAACGCAACGGGCCGCAAACACAGAGGCTGTCACACCAGAGGACAGGCTGCCAAAGGAATTTGTCATATCACAAACAAACTGATGTTTCGTTTCCCGAAAATCGGTTTTTAAAAATGAAAACATTGGGTTTCGAACCAGTTCCCATAATTTATTTTGCATGTGCCAATATTAGACAGAGTAGCTCTGTCTAATTTGCATGACCTCTGTAAAAACTGGATAATAAAAGTCGAACTACAGCAGAGAGATGGTGTGTGTGTGTGTGTGTGTGTGTTTGTGTGTCTGATCAAACACACTGTGTGGTAGCGTGGGTGTGGCGTTACACCTCGTGTGGCACTGGGCAGCCAAGATAAGAGCTGATCCTATCCATGCCTCCCTTCTGCTGCATCTGCCCGCCCACCAACACACCCATGACACACACACTGCCACACACACCGGCATAGGCCTTGTGCTATACCCATAATGCAACTGTAATATCTTTTGAAAATCAGATACCCCAGAGATAAATGTCACCTCTCAGTCATCATCACAGAAAGATGGAAGTCAAATGAACTCATATTTAACTGGGGTCACAAGGAATACTGGTGAAGGGGGGAGGGTGGTGGGGGGGGGGGGGGGGGAGGAGGAAGACAGAAGGAGGAAAAAGAAAAGTAGGGAACAGGACAAAAGAAGGAATGGTACAGAACACAGGGGAGAGGAGAGAAAGGGAGAGGAGCAAGACAAAAGGATGACGAATGGAAAAAGGAACAGAAGAGAGGAGAGGACAAGGTGGAAGACAGAGGGAGGATGTGAAGAAATAAAAAGAAAAGTAGGGAACAGGAGAGGAAGGGAAGGAGAAAAGAAGACAGGAGAGGAGCGAAGAGGAGAGTCCTAATCAGAACAGAAGAGAACTTACCTTCCTCCTTCTCTTTGAAACAGATAAACTTCACCTTTGGTTAAATCATGCACTCACTCTTCCTAAATTCTCCAGGACCTGTTGGTGTGAACTACACACACACATAAAGACACACACAGTGATGTGATCGGCCACCCTGATAGTGAGCCCGAACCAAGTCTCTAAGCCTCAAACAAAGTTTGGTGTGCACGGACCAAGACAGAGGAGGAACAAAAAAAACGAAGGAGAATTGGGCGGAGGGGGGCAAAGCAGAGAGGAAAAAAAAAAGTGTGACCACTGGGTGAAGTTTAACCACTTACGATTCAAGTTTGGCTTCAGCACAGCCCGCCTACACCCCGCATCCATTCATCCACACACACACACACACACACTCTGGGTGGGAGAGGCGGTGAGTAGGATTTCAGGGAAGCAGAGTTTTTTTTCTCTCCTGTTCCATCTCATTGCTGCTGCATGGCTGCCGGACAGGCGGACGGCCTCCTCTCACCCCCTCTCCCCCCTTTTCTCCACTATCTTTTCTCTTTTTCCTGATCCAGTCTCACTGCACATCCAGCAGCAAACAGCTGCTCCATACGGCCAGGTGACAGATAGCCATCCAGGCTGTGTGTGTGTGTGTGCGCGGCCCTGTCTCGGTCCGTGTGTGTTTGATAAAAACCATATTGTGAGGGAACGAGAAAAGATTAGATTGTAAAAGTATGTGAACAAGTGACACCATGTAGGATGAGGAGTGAGGGAGAGAGGGTTGGGAGGGTGGAGGTTCGGGGTGGGGGGGTCGGGAGTGATAGAATTCAATTTCTGCCGGTGAGAGGAGGAGGCTAAGTGTAGTGAATGTGATTTGATGCGATGCTGAGATGGGCTTTTGGGCATACAAATACCATTAGTCACTGCTGTGCTAACTTGTTACTCACAAACACTCAAAGACAGGCCGCCGCCCAGAGAGGACCAACATGGCACGGAACACAAAAACATTTTACTCAAACTTCTCGTTAGGTCAGAAGGTTTCTGTAAAATATAATGCAGTTTGACTGACCTCCAAATGACCTTTTCACTAAGTCAAATACACCAGACTAAACTTGCAGAACACAATTCCACAAAAAATATGTGAGATGAACAACACACAAATGTAGGCAGGAACACTGGTCTTCAGTTTACTCATTAGATTTTTTTTGTCTGTGAATATTTTACTGTTTTGTCAGACAACATATCTTTTTTTTTAAATTTTCCTTATTGACAGCAACAGCTTCACTAAAGTTTAAAGAGCATAGCTAGCGTTCTGTAAGATTCCATTAAGATGCACAGAAAACAACTAAAACCCAACTCTATGAAGTTCTTTAAAAATTAAAAATAATATGAATGAAAATGAACATTTTAATTATGATAAATGACATCATCCAATGAGTCTCCATTATCTATTTGAATGGTTTCTGCATTATGAGCTACAGCTGGTAATATCATTCACATTTCAAATGATTCATGTTTGGCCTCATCTTTCTAATGACACCATTAGAAACGACAGAAATCCCCATATCTGTGACACACAACATTCCAACAAGAACTGGTGCTGAGGCTCATCTCTGAAATTTCCTTGCTTTCATTTCCTTTTTTTTTCCTCTAATCAAAAAGCCCCGCGCCCCCATTGTGCCCACTTTAAGACCCCTTACACCACACCCATGGACCCCCATGTGCAGACATGAGGTCAAGCTCCAAAGATCACAGAGAGGAGCCAGACGAGAGAGAAAGGGGAGAAAAGAGACACAGAGACCTAAAATCCTCCTTTCCTCCAAAAACAGGCCAAAACCTCAAGCCTTCCCACCAACTCCAGACCCCCTCTCCCCCTCCCTCCTTCAAGCCCAGCTGTGTGTCGAGGAGGCAGTGGGCACTCTTGCAGAAACATCAGCCCAGGGAAATTCAAATGAGAAGAAAACAGTGAGAGGGACAGACAGAAAGAGGGAGATTCAGGGAGCACAATGGTGGGTGAGAAAATGGGATGAACGATTAGGAAGGAAAGAGCACTTGGTAGGAAGGAGGTGAAGGTGAAGGAGGAGGAGGAGGGAGGGAGGGGAGCAAGGGGGAGCTGCGGAGGAGATGGAGAGGTTGCTGAGACTGCAGGTTAAGATAATGTGAAGATGTGAGGAGATTTGCCGGCAACATTTTTATTACTCCCTTCTCTCCCGCCCTCTCTGTTTTCACTCTGTTTGTTTGTTTCCGGCATTAGCGTGTACGACTGTTGGTATGCCAGTCGATGCACACACATGCTGATTAGAATATTTTATCAACACAAATATTGCATGTATTGATACAAAACACACGCAAATGTGCTTAAAGGTGAAGCAGAGGAGACGAAACCGGACAGACGTTGCCAGGAATGTTAAATTGGTTAACATGCAGACACAGAAGCTGTTCAGACAAACACCCAGGAGTGTAGGCCATAACCATTCACTCACAACAAAACCAACGCGTGTTCCACGTACAGTTAAATAAACAAGACACAAAATTACAGCCTATTGGATCAAATCTCATCTCCTGCTCCTGTAAGCTGCAGACTACAACACAACACAACCAAGAGATTACCTTTTCTTCTTCTCACCATTATCAACAGCTGACTGGGTCATGTGAAAGAAGTGTAAAAATCAGCTAGGCTGAGGTTCTGTCGATAAGAACCAATGAGGAGATGAATGCAGATAAGAAAGGTACTGCATGTGTATTTTTGGCCGTCAGTACTAAAACACAGCTGTGCACTGATATGACTGACAGGTGCATTCAGAGAAGTGTCTGTGTATGTCGTGCATTCCCTGACATTTTGTTCTAGGAAAACAAGACGCAAGTTTTTAATTCTTCGAAAATTCACACAGGAGAACTGTCACATTTGAATTCAAAATCTACTCGTTGTCATTATGCTACTATTAGACTGACCACCTCACAGGTTGTGTGGGGCATGCATGGAGACAAAAGTCAAATGTCAGTGAAAACAGCTTTATAAAAAAAATGCTTGTATGATTGAAAAAATAAAAATAAAGTAATCGTTAGTTAGCATTAGCATCATATGGTATTGGATTGGTATCTGAAGGTTGCAGTACTGGTATTAGTAGCTCACGGAAAAAGGGTTTTGTAGGTCACATGCTCGTCTGCAAAAAACCTGATATACGATGGTTTCTTAAAATAAAAATAAAAATTTAAGTGATGAAAATCAAACCTGTATCGCTGTCATATCCTCCTTCCAGGTTGAGAGAGATTGACAGATCTTCATTTCGCTTCTCTTTGCCCAAAATCATCCAGTTTTCCAGAACCTCTGATTCAAAGGAATTCCCAGAGTCTGAGGAATCTGAAGACTGAGATTCAGATTCAGATTCAGATTCTGAGCTGCTGGAGTCCACAATCACTGGAACACTGAAGTTTCTCTCCTGTTTCTGGCCCCTCTGGTTGGTCAAACAAAAACCACATTAGAAACAATGTTACTATGAATTGTTAAGCTCTACCAAAAGGCGGGTACTGTGTATTAAGAATGTATTAAGATCGATATACAATACTTTGTGTTCTATTATTATTTGAACACATTTATTGTTTGCACAGTTAAAATACCACCTCATACAGCAGAGACTTTTCCTTCAGTAGAATGCATCAGTGCAGCCTGACCGAGCATGGGTCAGTAAATAAACTACGACTGACAAGCTGACTGACAGAATTGTCGAAATGGATTGTGAGGAGACTGCAGACTGATTAATACTGTTGAGGACAAGAGCTTCACTGAACATTTTTGAAAGAAACTCTTCACATGTTCTACAAGCCACCGTTCAGATGCACAGTAAATCCACCAACTCTGTTGAAGAATTCTATGTTTCTTCACATTATTTCCTATTCATAATTCCATCATTTGGGTTAGCCACAAATACGTGGGAAACAAAGACATCTAGCCTCTGATTTTTGTCTTCATGTTCTAGCAATATACAGAAAAAAGAGTTTTTGTCATATTCAGGAATGACAGTTTAGCCAGTACTGCATGTGTTTATATATCTGGTGTGTATTTTACCTGTTGTGCTGGAGTTGACGTCTGCAGTCTCCTCTGTTCAATGCCACCCTTTAAGCTACAGACTCCTTCATCATCAGCAGTGTCGTCGTCTGACAGGGAGATGACGTCAGGGCTGGAGTCAATCACGATCACTTCTTCGAAAGGTGAAGAGCACGACCCCTGACCTTCTAATTCACTTTTTCTTTTCTTCTGTTTTTCAGGCTTATTTTGCTTCTTTACATGTGGCTGTATACTGCTGGTGTTAGGAGAGGGCAGAACCACACCATCAACAGGTTTCACTTCCTCCTCAGCACTTGGAGCTTTCCCACTCTCCTGGTTCTCCTCCTTCTGACCACTACCCTCCTCCTCTTCCTCCACTTCTTCCCCCAGCTCCCCAGCATTAGAGGAGTAGTGGAGCTGGCTGTAGAGGTGGAACTCCACCTCGCTGTCAACCTCTGACTTTTCCGAGTCTCCGTCATCGTCTCGGTACAGCTCGTCCTCCAACTCCCCACCGTCTTGAAACAGGCAGAACATTATTGTCCCAAACCCTCAGTACAAATACATCGACCTGTTCTGCATCCGGAGCGATGGAACTAGGGTTGATGGTGACCTCAGTGGTAGAAAATCGCTGAAATAATACAAAGAGATGCAAATAAGTTTAAACTTTATACAATGTCTTTACACATTTAAGATAGTATTTAGGACTAACAAATTCACTGGTATTAATAGACAAATAATCTTTGAGCCTCAATCATAAGAACTGGTAATAGACTGTTGTATTTTAGGACTGTTTCTGTTTTGTTTTGGTTTTTTTGCATCAATTTGATTATGAAATCTACGCACAAAAGGTCCATCAGTTATGACCAGGGAATAAACTGGGTTTTTTTAAGACAAGACCATTAACTAGTCCTTCATTCAGTTTTCCAAAAATCTTGAAATTGTTAGATAGTTCATGTTTAAGAACCTGATTTTTTTTGTCCAACATTTTCATAAGAGTCTCAAATTCTATGACCTGTCAACAGCTTGGATTTAACTTTATTATCTGTCTAAAGTTCCATTTGGAGAATAAACTGTGGTACAAACAGCATCAGCCTGTTTCCTCTACAAACACACACTGACTGAACATCTGCACTTTGACTATATTTAGGTTGGTACACAATTATATACTTACGACTCTAAAACTTACAGTGGGTTGTTAATTTTCTAAATCCCTGTCTTCCTAACACTCTCCCTCTCACACACACACACAGACACACAGAACAGGAAGGGGGCATTGGCCCATTGCACTGTCCAGTCCTGCGTGTCTGTGCTATGATGGCGGGAGATGATTGGCTCCCAGAACACACTGCTGAAACGCTACGCTAGACAGTCACCAGCTGCCCACCAGGGATTAAAGGGACAGAAAGACAACTCTAGGATGAGAGGATGTGACACTTTTGAACTTAAGCAGTGGACATGGACATGAACATAACAAATGACTGGCTGCTTCTTATGGTTGTGGAATTTCAAAAACTGTACATTCATGGTCTACTGACCCAGCTGTTTTCACCTAATCTGCCAAACAGAAGCACTGGTCTGACACTGTGTGTGGATGTGTGACTGTGTGTGTGTGTTCAATGTTGAAATCTTTAAAATTACTTAACCATTTTATTTTCCTTTATGTTTCCCTGACAAATTTTCTGTATCTATATCCATATGTATGTGCGTGTATATGTGTGTGTATATGTGTATATTATGTGTGTATATATACATATATACACACACACACCCATATATGTACACAGACATGTTGTAATAGATATTAATCTATGTTTATGTTTTAATATCCATTGTACATATTGTTGGTGTGTTGTGCATGTCATTTTAGGTTAGTGAAAAAACGTAAAATCAATATAAACTTCACTAGCCATCACCGAATAGTATCTATTTTCTGTAAAGTACCGAGTGATATATAATGTGAACTTTTAATTTGTGAAAAAAGTGATATGTTAGGGCCAAGAGCATACGACCTACAACTTCATTAAAACATTGACGG